CTTTTACTTCTTTTTTTGCTTTAATTTGAATTTCAAAATTAGCTTGCATTGCATAGAGAGCCATGAGACCGTGGAATAAATGATGATATGATGAGGATTGAGATTACGAGCGTTAAAGAAGAGGCCTTTGATTGGGTGAGACGGACTTAAATTACTACTAGTATATAGATAAAGGTGAGTGGTACTAGTCGTAATATTGGAATGCATGGATGGCAAATCCCAAAGAAGAAGAAAAGTGTAAGAGAGAGAGACGTTGGTATTCCCGAAGAAGGAACTCCCCAACTTTTGCCAAAACAAAATGCCAACTTCACTGAAACACACAACCTCCTTCCCCTCATTTCTTGGCCTTTTCTTTATCTTTTGAGATATCAACACAAATATTTTACTAATTTTCTCTCTTGAGAAAGTAATTATCTTTAATGTATTTGTTTTATTTAGAATCATAAAAGCCTGGACTGCACCAGTTTTTTTCCACCACTTTCTCCAAGAAACGCAAAAGTTGAAAAAGACCAGCTCATTCACTTATGACTCATGAGTAACTTCTTCCTTATAAATTCAAATTGTTCACAACTCCCTTGAGTTCCATTTCCGAACACAAACACACATAATACGTATATATGTCACTACTAAACATATAAAGGGATATGAGAATCAGCTGCAATGGATGTAGAGTGCTACGCAAAGGTTGCAACCAAGATTGCACCATAAGACCATGCCTTCAATGGATCAAATCCGCAGACTCTCAAGCCAATGCCACACTCTTCCTCGCCAAGTTCTATGGTCGAGCCGGTCTTCTCAACCTCATCGAATCCGGTCCTGACCACCTTCGCCCCGGTACTGAAAACGAATGCTTTCCTCTTTTTATCTTTCTTTTTTTTTATTACACAACGGTCCATTGAATTATCTTGCGAATAAATAGTACACAAAAAAAGTGACAATGTGTTTTGGATTATGAAAGATCTACAAGATTTGGTAACAGAGTATCAAACAAGGATCTAAATGTGTATTTTATATTCTGTCATAAAAGTCTTACATGCACAGACACACACATCACATCACACATATGTTTTTCATTTTCCAGGTTGATCACATAACCTTCATTGTGTTTTGTAGCAATATTTAGGTCACTTCTGTACGAGGCTTGTGGTCGGATCGTGAACCCTGTAGATGGTTCGGTTGGTTTGATGTGGTCAGGGAACTGGGCTCAGTGCCAAGCAGCTGTTGACGCCGTGCTCAACGGCTTACCCATAACTCACACATCTCTTCCAAGTGCATCCGCGTCGCACCAGATCATTCCTCCTCACAGGACTTACGATATACGCCACGTGGCTAAAGATCCAACAACCGGCGGCGACAGTTCTGAGAATCTAGCCACACGTGTAAACGCTAACAAGAGCAAGACACAAACTGGCCGATTCAAACGTGAATCTGTGAACCAACTAGGTGAATGTAGTCATGACATGTGGCAACTCCAAAGTTCTAGTGCTGCGCATGGCTATGGTCACTTCACGTTGGAGACTGTAGAGAGCGGAAGGGAAGCTCCATTAAATCAAAGTTCTTCAAATCTTGGGTTTGATGATCAAGTCGATATCAACGAGGTTGGCTTAGAGCTCAGACTTGGTTAGAAATTTGGACCAAGGACAAAAATAGATAGCGTTATTATCATAATTCTGTCTTTTTAATTAATAATTTCACTTTTTATATAAAAGAAGGAAAAAAAATGTTAAGCATATCAAACTTGGTCTACTGGCTTTCATAAGTGTATTAAATTTAGTATTAATGTGAATCATTAGGTTATGGTATATTTTGTAACGTCCCGACCGTCTCTACCAGTGGACCCCACGTCCTCTCTCGAGCCCATGGGCCCACTCCTATCCGACGGCCGGTCCGCTACGTCCGGGAGGCTTTAAAGACTTGTTTACCGACCCTACAAATCACCACATGATCTTTCTCTGTGTTTTTGTCCTCACTCACACAGTTCCGACAATCACTTCCCGAAAGGTCACCCATCCTGAAACTACTCCAGCCCAAGCACGCTTAACTGTGGAGTTCTCTCAGGACAGTTGACCGAAAATATAAGTGCACTTTGGTGACATAGGTGGCCAAAATAATTCGTTTTAAACCTCTCCGCATACACCACCATATTCCTGAAACCGGGGTGTTACAACTGGTATCAGAGCCGAACCCAGTCGAGTGTGGAGTCAAGAGGGCTCACACCGTCGGGGGTTACGGTCTTGGTGCGCAACGAGGACGTTGCGATCTGTTAGTGGGGGTGAATTGTAACACCCCGGTTTTAGGAATATGGTGGTGCATGCGGAGAGGTTTAAAAGAATTGATTTGGCCACCTATATCACCAAAGTTCACTTATCTTTTCGGTCAACTGTCCTGAGAGAACTCCACAGTTAAGCGTGTTTGAGGTGGAGTAGTTTCAGGATGGGTGACCTTCCGGAAAGTGATTGTCGGAACTGTGTGAGTGAGGACAAAACACAGGGAAAGATCATGTGGTGATTTATAGGATCGGTAAACAAGTCTTTAAAGCCTCCCGGACGTAGCGGACCGGCCGTCGGACAGGGGTGGGCTCATGGGCCTGAGAGAGGACGTGGAGCCCACTGGTAGGGACGGTCGGGGGATTACATATTTGATCGAAGTCTCAATGTGTTACTAAGAGTTGTTGATGTCTTGTTTAACGCGTTACTAGCACATTTCTAAGAGTTATTTTTAATGATCATTAAACTTAATTTGTACTCCCTCCGTTTTAGTTTAGTTGTCGTTTTAGCATTTAAATTTTGTTTTATAATAGTTGTCGTTTTAGATTTTCAATGTAGATGTTTGGTAAAATTTCTAATTTTCTCCTCACTATTTTAATATCTTGACCAATAAAAAAATTAAAAAATATATTGAGTAAGGGTAAAGTAGAAAATTTAATTGTTTTCTTAATTTTCGTGCAAAAACCTTAAACGACAAGTAATATAAAACGGAGGGAGTACTCACTAAAAGGCAGTTGTTAACTTGTCACATCCAATACAAACTATCAATATATAGTTTTCTTATATTACTAGAGAAGGTTATGGGTCCGATTGGTAACCAAAAGCTGTTAGCTGTTAGCTTTTCCGGAATAGTGTAAAGTTGTACGAAAGAGCTGTACGAGAAAGCTGTATAAAAAAGCTGAGAGTAAAACTTTTAGTAACGCTTTTGATAAAGCTTTTGTGATTGGTAACTGTCAAAATTGTATACTTTGTAACGCTTTGTGCCGCTTTGTAAAGTGGTTACCAATCAATGCCTATATTTCCTTGAATTTTTTACTAGTTACTACAGTATTTACTAGTACTACTCCATATACGTTTTTAGCTGATCGGTCAGATATGTTTTTTAATTACTAATTCGTACGTTTCATTACCATTAATTTTCTAGTTTTTCTTACGTTTTCAATGTACTCTATATTAATTAAATGTCAAGAAAATTTGTTATCCGATTGTTAATGAACTACATTGAATGATTACATATGATGCACACTCTATGCTATCTCTTTGCTAAGCTAATCGATTCGATATTGTGGGGTTGGGATAATCCTTGTAAAAAGATAATGTTATTTTCCTTTGATCTTTGTGCTTAAAACGGATTTAGAGGGTTGCGAGATTTTGCTCTATCTTATGCAGAGCAGAGCGATTTCAAACTATCTGCTTAATCTTCAGTGGGCTTCAATAAGTGTAGTTAATGTTATTGGATATCAGTTGAGCTTGCTAGTTTGTATAGCCAAATTAACTAACAAGTGTGTCCATGACCAAGATGATTCTTTGGGGATTTGATCTTAGGTTGTGTGTTAAGTATGCTCTGAAGAAGCATCTGAAATCACTTCCTTGATAACCCTCTTGCGTTGTTATTAACTGCTTAATTAAGTTAAATCCTTCCTATTCAACAGGCATCTTTCATGAAATCAGGTCTTAGTCATCATGCCATGGAAGCATGAATCCGACAAGGTTATCTGAGACGTGTGCCAACAAACTCCTCTGTTCTGCTTTGCACCTCCTTCTTTGGCATAATTTCTGATCATGTAACTGTTCATATATCATTTATTCCCATGTATTCTTTTGGAATGAACTTCCTTCGTTCGATTCTACTTGCTTCTACTACAAATTTTGAGACAGGGCCAAATAAACTACTTGTATCTTTTGATGTTTAGAGTCCATGAACTCAAAATTTTCAGGTGTTTTGTGGGTACTGTTAGTAAGTTACTCATAGTACTACATAAACCATTAAAGCTTAACGAATCTGATATCATCTCCATTTTGTTTTCATTGATCTCCTGATGTTGTAGTAGTTCTAGTTCCCAATTCTGGATTTGGAAGATTTTGTGTCCTCTGTGGTGAGTTAAAAGCGGGTTTGTAAGAAAGGATACATGATTTTGGAATCTATGTGTGAAGGAGAGTCCAAGATTTTTCATTCTAATCCATGATTGTCCCAGGGGACACAAACAAAAACAAATGCAAGTCATCCCAAAACGTCTCAAAACTTTTACATGTATGCAAACCACAGAAAAAGATATAGAAAATTTTATTTGTTCTCCATTACAACATTTTGCATCTATGTAGGCATGTAGCAACTAGCAACGTATCGAGCAAGTTACTGTATCTTGTCTTTTTCCCAAACCTTCCATAATCGTGGGCTCGTGGCGTTATTGCAATAGCCGATTTTGTCGTTTGGTTTTGCAAATGTTTGCTTTTCTTGGATTAGGAATCCACTACATTTTAACCCACACAAAGAAAATAGAGGTGAATGAAGAAAGCATACCTTTTTATGGGAAGATAACGAAATGAAAATTATCTTAAACGGTTAAAATGGTGTTGCTTGAGTTAAACCGGTGTGGGAGTCATTAAAATAAAATAAATGCCCTCATCTCTGAGAAACCAAATTCAAAATTAAAACTGGAAGAACCACCTTAAACCGGTATTGTTCGGTAAGCTTAAAATATTCACAATGGAGAATAATGCGGCCAATGTGTGTACAGCTGTGCAAAGCTAAATCTTCTTTTTCAAATTTTGAATTTCCTTTATAACGGAATCAAATGAACGTTTGAAGAAGAAGAAGAACGTAAAAAAATCTCTCTCATTTTCCTGAAACCCTAAATTTTTCATTTTGCATAATGTCTTTAGAAGTTGAGTACCGATACTTTTTTTTTCCGGCGGTCAAACACTAGAAAGGGCGTGTTCTCTCAGTTCGGCTACGGTTATCGATTCTAAGGTTAGTCAAACTCAATTTAGGGTTCCGGTAATTCTGGTTCTAACAATTGATCTGTTTATGAATTGGTTTTTATTGCTACACGAGCGATCAACACCCGGAACTAGGGTTTCGTCGAGGCAATTACGATAATCCTAAAATGTTTACGAATTGTGTTTCTCTGATTCGATTATTGTTACTATTACTTAATTTATCCCAATCTGTGTGTTAATCCTCCTGCTTTTATGAGTGGAGAGGTTGATCGATTTTGTTATTTGATCGATACCATCTCTATGTTATAGTTTTGTGATTTGTTTGATTTGGTTTTTACAGATCGCGAGAATTGGGGAATATCAAGGGGATTCTGATTCGTGATCTCCAAGGACAATAAATCCTCCATGTGATGCTATCAAAGAGATCATCGGGAAAGAACTTGATGGCCGTAGCTTCAACGTGAACGTGGTGGTTGGTAATGGAAGATAAAAAATGGTTTTGTGCTGCTCTGTTTTTGGTTTAGATTTGTTCTGCATCATTGTGGCTCCGGTTTGTTTCTTGTTCTTGTTCTTATGGTTTACTTTTTTGATGTTGCAGATCATTTAAAGTCTTCTTTGCTTGAAGAAAAGAGACATGTACTGATACACACATACCAAAATGCACACATGCATTCATGCATACATACATGGATTCTTTGATTACTTCATCACTTCTGCTTTCATTTCTTGCTTGCTTCTTGGTTTTCGTTCTTCATTCTTTGATTTGTTTTTATTTCCTAGTTCCTTCTTTGCTTACTTATTTTATGCTTTCTATGCTTGTACACATTCATATTTGCTTCTCTGTTTCTTTGATTTGTTGTTTACTCACTTGATTCCTTGATTCATTGTCTGATCCTTTGTTTACTTATTTTTTCTTTCGTTCCTTACTTACATGCTTACTCTTTTCTTCATTATTTGCTTATTGGTTTGTTTGTTACTTCCTTGTGTCCTTGTTTGGTTAATTAATTACTTGCTTCTGTATTTTCTTCCTTAATTCCTTGGCTAATTTGCTTCATTGTTTCCTATCTTACATGCTTAATTTCTCTGTCATTCTTCCTTAATTCCTTGGCTAATTTGCTTCATTGTTTCCTATCTTACATGCTTAATTTCTCTGTCATTCTTCCTTAATTCCTTAGTTAATTTGCTTCCTTGTTTCCTTGCTTACATACACGCATACATGGATTCTTTGTTTGATTTATCATTTCTACTTCCATTCCTTGCTTGCTTGTTCACTTTCTTCTCTGATTTGTTTTCTACATACATACATCTATGCATACTTGCTTGTACACATTCATATTTGCTTCTCTGTCTCTTTGATTTGTTGTTTGTTTACTCACTTGCTTCCTTGTTTACATACTTGTTACATGCATATATACATACATTTATGCATACTTGCTTGTACACATTCATATTTTCTTCTCTGTTTATGTGGTTTGTTGTTTGTTTACTCACTTGTTTCCTTAATTCATTGTTTGATCCTCTGTTTACTTCCTTGCGTCCTTGCCTGCTTCCTTAATTCTTTGCTTGCTTACTTACTTCTGTATTGTGGTCCTTAATTCATTGGTTATTTTGCTTCCTTGATTACACACTTACTTTCTTACATATTGTCTTTCTTCCTTAACTGTTGAACTATTTTTTTTTTTTACTTTACATTATATCCTTAAATTGCTTCCTTTCATTATACTCCCTGCTGTTATAAGCGTCTCTGACACTATAAGTGAGGATCGTTTTGATGTTAAACATGGAAGTGAAGAGTGGTACAAGAAATTGGATCTCCATTTTAAGTGACTTTTTTTTAGTATCGGATCAGTCCATACTTTTGCAAATGGGGTGAAGGCATGCGTGTCTTGACATACAACTCACCACGACCTGGTATTACAAACCGTCTTTTGATTTTTTATGCACCACCAATATATTTTTTGCGTTGTGTAAGCTGATCATTTTGCTTCACACTCTGAGTTCTTCATTCGCATTCCACTTATTTTTCATAGACGATCATCTGAAATCGGATGAATACATCTCTGATCCAAGGCTTGCGGATTATGAAGTACCATGTAGACAAGTTATAGCAGGGTAAGCATGTGTTGTCCCACTCAAGCTTTTGTAAGTGACGCATGTACCCAAACTAACTTTCTGTTGATGTGCAAGCAGGGATGATTCAAGGAAAGTTACATGTGGAAAGAAGTTAAGATATTGAGGAGTAAACCCCATAGGTACAAAGCTTACTTTTACTTTAGGATGAGGTATCTTAGTGCTTAAATCAATTTTTCATTAGTTTGTGGTAATAGGAAAATTCTAAGCCATTTTTATATCTCATGATCCATCCTTGGTGTAGTTGGTGTGTTGTTTTAGTTGAAATTACTTATTTACAGCTTCTTATAACAATTAGAACTTTTGGCAGCCACTGAATATGGATCACTTTGATAGCCTTCGCTAGATGGCCAATGAAAATTTTGCCTATTCAAGCATAACAAGGATACATAATGTAAGCACTGATGAATAATTTAAAGTTAGATAGCTATTGGTCAGTTCTCGGACTAGCGCTTTAAGTTGTGAATAAACTGCTTTTGAAATTTTTTTCAGTGGTACCAATTATTAGACCATGTTAATATAATGTGGTGTCATCTATCTCCCCTATTATTTGATTTTTTTTGTTTCTACAATGTACCTGGATTGACATTTAAACATAGATAGGAATCCATTTTCGGTCACAGTCGATGATTAGAAAATATCTATTCACTCAATCTGACTTGAGTATTTATATGCAGCAAGAGAGAGATACATTGAGTCCAAGCTTCAGGCCTAGAAACAGGAATCAGTTACCATTGATGCTTATCCCAATGTTTGTGGTAACCATAAAAGGTTTGTGTTTAAAACTGGACTGTTTCCATAGCCCCACCACCCCTTATGTTTGCGTGAATTCCAATATATTCTTGTCTTGCACTCAAAAGTGTAGTTCTGTTTTGCAGCAAATATAACATGGCAAGTGGTTTGCGTCAGATCAGATGTTTTAATCTTTTGAGGAGGTAGCACATGAATGTCATTTTTGTCATTGTTGCGAGCGCTCTTTTACAGCTGAAGAAGAGGATATAGCTTTGTTAATAAGGTTACACAATCTTCTCATGTTTTGCCTTACGATTCAAATTATTTTATGCTTTTGAAATATCGGAATGTCTCTTTATTTGAGTATGGAAATTTCTTTTCAAATACAGCAAAGGAATACCACAAAGGGTAAAGGCTTCAAGCACGGGGGAACATCTTAACGTATTAGCAGTGGAATCTTCCTATGCTCACTATGTATTTCAGCAGCTAGAAAAACTACAGGCAGTTTTTGAAGAATACTCTAAACTAACAAGGAAGTTATTCCTCTCGCTGAGAAAACTTTGCAAGACCTCTGAATGATGTGAGTTGAGGATCACTAGTAATTTTCTTGAATATAACTGATTTGCAGCCCCAAGTTCTATCAGTTTCTTTAGAAGTCTTATTGTTTTCTACTTGCTTTGTTTCCACTAAATCATGTTGTCATGCACACAACCTGGAAAATCTTAATTCCAGTTCATAGCATCTCAAATCATATATGTGTATGTCTACAGGTATTAGAAATCTCTGCCCAGACAAAAGCTGGCAAAGACTCAATTGAAGCACTGGTGCAACCCCTGGAAAATGCTGGCAGGATCTTACAGGAAATCGTATCCTACCAAAAGCAAATTGAAGATCTTGAATATAAGCTCGATTTCAGGGGTCTTTGGGCTAAAACTATGGAAGAAATCCAATCAGAACTAAGTACCCTCCATAGCAGCAAGTAAGTACTCTGAATTTATGCAGGGTATAACATATTTCTCTTCCTTGGATGTTTCTTAGTCTAGCAGACACATTTTTCCAATATTTTCTTCCTAATGTACCCTTAAACAGGGATAAACTGCACGATGAGATGACCAGATTTACATAGAACGTGATATATCATGCCTCTAGGGAAGGTGGCATGCAGTAAGGGAGGAGAAGGTTAAGGCTCGTGTTATGACTACATAATATTGTGGTATGATTCTCTTATTGTTGAATTCATATGTGCTAATTGATTCCCTTATAAATGGTTATTGTGATCGACTTTGTCCTTTTTCAGACTTTTGTGGTGTTAATATCTTATTCTTCTTTTCATTTTTAGCCTACCGAGATGGGTCTCGAAGAGATTGAAAACAGTAGGATCTACTGTAAAACAAGAAACTATATCTCAGTTAAAGAGCTCTGTATGGAAAGAAAAACTTGAAGGTTTGTTGAAGGGCTTGAAGACTCTTTTATTCTCAAATGCTGCTCTCTCCATCACTAGTGCTTACCTCCTTCTATGTTTATCTTTTTGCCTTTTGCTTAAGTGGTTAATCTTATTTTTAAGTGGTTCTTCATCAATTTTCATTACACATAGGATAAATCTGATGTACAAGGTTCCTGAATTTGATATGAAGAACCACTTAAAAATGAGATCAAATCTGCATAAGCATATGTCACATAAGGTCTTTTTTCTTAAGTATTTATCAGTTTGGTGATTATTCTGCATTAAATTGCCGTGCAGGAACTTTGGTTGTGAAAGAAGAGACATGAGGTTTACAAGAACTAGACAAGTCAATGGAAATCTTGTCCGGTTTATTGTGTTCAGTTCCTGGTGGGAAGGAGAAAAATGGGCAGGTATGCTTGTTATTCCGTCTGAAATCTTCTTATATATATTTCTAGAATTATACTCCCCAAAATAATTTAAAGTAGTACATGAGCATATTACTTGGAAATGCAGGTTCATCAACAAGTCATTGAAATCATCACTGACATATCTTCGACTGCGGAAAAGTTTCTAAGAAGTGTGTCGTACTTTGCATTACAGGTTAGGAATATGAAGAATGCTTCAGTTGATGAAAGCTGTCTTCTTACGTTAGTTATATTTTTTCTTGCATAATTAGTTCTTAGCTCATTTTCCCGAGTTTTTGTATTAATTTGCAGGCACTAGTGATCGAGATGAAGATATAAGACGCTAGCCTCTGCTATGAAGTGCCCTATTGCTTTCTGCAAAGCAGTTGGTCCTGATTTGTTTCGAGAGGGTATGTCCTGGTTCGGTAACTTTTCTTTGACTTTTATTTTAACTTGATCACAATGATGATCCATGGCTGTTGTTTGTAGCTTTACAAAATCATGAAAGAGAACAAGAATCCCAAGGTTTTTAGTGAAGGCTTGTTGTGGATGGCTTCGGTAATTGATGACTTTGGTGTCTCACTTCTAAAAACTTTAAGGTTTTGAATTTTTTCTACTCAGAAATTTCCACCCCCTGATTTCCGTGTTTATAAAAAATCTGTAGTATTTAAGTTATTTTCATTATATCTAAAGAGTTTTTTTTTGTCCATTTGATAGATATTAGGAAGGATGTTGTGATGCAATCTAATATAGCTGCCACCAGAAATTCTAGAATCAAACTTTTGGGTGCTTTAAACAAGTTTAATGGTTCAGGTGACTATGAATTCCGTAAGCTGCTTCTGCTTTGTCGAACTTTCGTTTTGTTAGAAGAACATATCTTAATAACTGAACTAAACTGTGTTATTTCTGTTTGCAGATAATGAAAGGTTCCGTAATGATGTCAAACATGCACTACTAAGTGAACTTGAAGCTAAATGTGAGAAAACCCCTTTGGATTGTCTAAATTTTTGGATTTCTTGTTGTACTTATATTCTTTTCGTCAGGGGACTGCGGCTCCAAATAGAGTTGTATTAAGACGTCTGTTTCAACATCAACTTATGCCGTGGAGGTCAGTAGCAAGATTAGCCTATTCCTCTTAAGGGATATGAGAGTCCTGATTGGAAGGTTCTGTACAAATTGGAAATCTTCATTTGTTGTCTAAACTTAAAAATTCTTTTGTGGAGTTTTATTTTAAGCTTTAGATTTGAAACTGAGTCTTGTAAACTTCTGTAGATGCGTTTGGAGTAAATCGAAGCCGTAAATATAATTCTACAGAAGCTAATAAACGTTGACTACCATTGGAGGTGTTGTAATAGCTATGGGACCAGCTATCGAGAAGGCGAGCAAGGTTGGTGATACATGTCAAGCATTAAAAATATTTTTTACACTATAAGATATCACTGCTTGCCAGATTTACCAAATACTTCAGTGATCTACTTCAGGAATGTCCCAGGGACAACTTGAGGCAGATGAGAGAATGCACCTTGACTGCTTGTGATTCATTTCTTGGTGTTGGTAATAATCTTCCTTAGACATGTCTTCTGTTTATCTTTTTTATTCTGTTAATGCATATTCGTAACAAATCGGAGAATGGGAGCAGATGGACGTAAAATATCTTTTTTTTATTGGTGATTGACGAAACAGCTTGCTGGATTAATTGACTTGGTGGACTGGATGCCAAACATTTCTGAAACCTGCAAGCACCGTAATGATGGTGACTTATCTAAAATTGTTATATCGCCTCATCAGCTTTAATCAGTAATGACATCTGTTTGTAATGATATCAATTTGTTATGCTTCTATGAATCTTTCAGGAAAAATCAGCAAATGTGTGAGAAAGAGCGGAATGATGCATGACAGAGATCTTGAGAGTCAGTGGACAAAAAACTGTATGTATTCCTGAGTTAGATTGTTCTATTCATTGGCTAGAATCTGATTAGTCGTGTGCATTTTTCTCAGATTGGAAAGAATATCAGAGATATCTCAGGCTTAGTACTAGCTCTTGTGCTTGACAAAGTAAGACCAAGATTTATTCACGGTAACTCTCCATGATCTGTTTGTCTGATTAACATGTTCTCTCCTCTCCATTCCCTTTTTATGTTCATGCTAATGATGTGTTTTTTTCCGAACCATTTTAACCATCAAAAGCTTTGGCAGGGCCAGAGTGTTAAAAGGTGTTTCAAAGATTTCAAAATCAACTTCTAATGGTAAACTGAAGCAAGGAAATAGGTCAGTAAGTTTCTGGCTCTTAACCTATATAATATATATATATATATTCATGTATTCAATTTGTGTTTTGTAATGTGTTGGCCAAAGATTAGAAAGGTTGATATTTGGTGGCTGAGTGATAGATTTGTTGGTAAAAAAGAAATTGGTATTCAATTCTCTAAATAATTTTGTTAAATCTCTATTGCAGAGGTATAACACTTAAAGATGCAAGAGATCAAATTCAAAGTATGGAATCGTATTCTCGAAGAGTTGGGAGAGGCAAGAATTTCTTTATGCTTCATTTTAAGGTAAGTTGTTCTTCATGTTTCTTTATCTCTAAGAGTGAAGTAATTTTCTCTTTATTTGCTCATAATTGATATTTCTCTTGCTTTATGCATATGTACAGGTCTTTGAAGAGTCAGGTAAAATCTATGTCTCTCTTCTCAGGGTAAAAAAGTTAACACAAACACCGAACACACAAACAACAACAACAACTCACGAAAACTCACAACACAATCACAGAAGAATCGACAAAAATTCCACAAACTAGAACTTCACATGCCACGAAACACAACACAAAAATCGACAGAAACTCCACAAACTAAAAACTTCGCATGCCACCAAACACAACACAAAAATAGACAAAAACAAACAAAACCCACACAAATTAAAATCTTCATATGCCACGAAATCCAACAAATTCACCATCACCTGAAACAAGAGTCTCAAGGGTAATAACGTCAAATATTTTCTTTCTAATTTACTAGAGTTTAATGCTGTCTATTTATAATGCCAATAACAATTCATAAAAATTTATGCATGATTTTAATGCTATATTGGCTCATTTTAATACATTTTTTCCTCCTAAGTACTTTACAACATGTCACAATATTACTTTATTTTTCTCGATGTGATTCAGTGTTTGTAACATTGTTATTATTATTTTTTTATTATTTTTGGTGATATTAGTTGATGAAACAGTTGTAAAATTAACTTCTCTGGATGTAGGATTTTTTTGTAATGTGATATTTGTTAATTAACAAAAACTTTTGTACAAAGAGGTTTATAGTACCTTATATGTTTTTCTTTATACTGCCATCTAAAGAAAATAGATGTCCACAATAAAATGGCAGCTGAAACTTGAAAGACGAATCCCAAAACAATAAATGCTTATTGAGAGGAAGAAATCGAGGTGTAATTTGGAAATCGGAGATGAGTGTAGACGAAGATGAATAAATTGAGAAGAAATTTTCTGATTTCTTATACTAACACACTTTTAAACTTAACCAGGTCTAGCATTACGTTCAAACCAGCTCGAAGCTAAAAAGTGTCTCTGGCAGCTCGAATCATATGACTTTATAAATAAGGACCACACATATTATTGCACAAACCCTTAACTTATTTTTCTTTTGATTCAAAATTGTCATCATTAATATGTCTAAACTCTAAAGGCTTTTTGCTCACTCAAACGACCGTATCCGTTTTTTTTCTATGATGTGACTCTTAAACATAGTGTAAACTTTGGAAATCGCGTTAGTGTTTGACCTCGTACTCGAGTTGTGTTAGCCGGGTTGGTCAAGAATTGAGCGGTACGGTTGTTGCGACGATTGTGGATTATACTCATTGAAGATAGATTGAGGCATTAGATTCGAAGACGAATCTATGTTAGTGGGGGCAGGGGGAGAATTGTAGAGATTCGAGGACGAATCTACTTAGGCATTAGGATATGTATTAGATATTTTGTATTGAATTGTAAAACCGATTGTCTGCAACTCCTTTTTAAGCAAGCTTTTTTCTCTCTTTCAGCCACACTCATCTTCTCTCTTTCTCTCCATGAAGATGGCCACAATATTATGATAAAGAACTAGGGTTTTAAGATTTTATGGTTAAAATAGACTTAAATTTATTTCTGATTCACTCAAATTAAACGAATTAGAATTACCAAAAATATTATATTTCTCCTTTGGTTTAATAATAAACCAATCAACTTATTAAATCAACTAGAATTAAACCGACTCTCCTCCACATCCCTACATAAAACTCAAATTTTTGTTTTCCGAAACACAGACGTTAAAGTGTGAAAACATTTTTGTTGGTTTTACATATATAGTTTAAATAGTAGGCTATATATTTAGTATATTTATACATGTAAATGAAAATTGAGATTTTTTGTACAACAGACAAAGGAAACGATAAAAAACGAAGAAGAAAACAAGAGAAATATTGATGGATTTAATAGTCCAAAATACACATATTTATAAGAGAAATTGGCAAATATAACCAACAAAAAAACTTTATTTAAGAAAGTAACCAAAAAAAAATCCCTTGTGATATAATGTGTGTAATATGTATTAAAGACACAATTACCCCCAAAGCATCTTTATCTCTTCTTTCTTCGTTTCTCCACCTCTTCTCTGTTCTTTCTCAGTTTCTTCCTCTCTCCTGGCCTCCTCCATTTTCTCTCCCTCTCACAAGTGTCATGGGGACTCCCATTTGATTGCTTAAGTGCCTAAACCAGAATCTCTCTAATTCGAATCGACAAGATATTGGTAACTGTAAAAACGTGAATTGGGTTTTGGGAAGTGAGGAACAGACAAGTGAATGACCGATATTGTTTCAATGATCTTTTTAACATTTTAGTTTGAAAACTTTAGTCAAGATATCGCCGTTGTTGGGGTCTATCGTTTGATCTGCAAATGAATTTCTCATTAGTTGATTACAAATAGTATAGATTTTTATGTACATAGTATACTATTTTTCCTTAACTGAAATTTACTATTCGACATCTTGATTCTCCATTATTTGATGTTAACTGGAAGCTTGTGATTCTGGAATTGAGTGTTTCTTCTCATCTCCTTACGCTGCAAATTAACATTGAAGATAAGTAGATAATGATGAACCTATTGGAGTTGAAGTCGCCGCCACCACCGCGACAAGCACCACCAACGCCACATCGTTGCCGCCATACCAACACAATCACCACCACTGTCATTAACACCACCACCACTACAACTCACTCCTTACGCGTACGTCCACAAACTGAAACGAAATCATTCGATCCAAATGCAACCACGAGTGTGTTACTCTCCTCTCATTACACGCGCGTCTTCATCGCTTACAAAATGAAAAGGAGTTTTTCGACTTTTTATCCTCCACTTGTGTTACTTCCTTCATTTGCCTCATTATAGTGCTATATATTTAATAATTTTATCTAGAATGGTTATTCATCTAATTCACCCTATTTATAATTGCATAATATAAAAATACAGCTATAACCAAATAAAAATCAGAAATACAAAAACACTACACAATTATATGATTTCGTCTTATCACTTTTTCTTTAAAAAATTATTATTTTCCATGCTTTTTTTTGTCGGTTATTATTTGCAGGCCCGGTTCTTTACCAATTTTTATGAAACATTTGTGTTGGGCCTCATACTTTTGAGGTCCATTTTGTTGAGAAATTTTTTTTTTTTTTTAAGGCCTCAAAATTAGTAAATAATCCCCAAAATTAGTAAAAGGCTCCATAATTAACAAAAAAAATACTCCATAATTAGTAGAAAATTCTAATAATTAACAAAAAAATGTCTAAAAATTAAGAAAAATTATGAATGTCTCATTTTTAGCAAAAAAAAAATCAAAATAACAGTTTTTAAATTTTTAAAAAGCCCAAAAAAAAAATTTCGTATTTGGCCCTGGATTTTACCGGACCGGCACTGATTATTTGCCATGCTAAGTCTTCTATTCAACTCTTTAAAAATTTCATAAAGGTATCTCCCGAGTAGGCCTGGGCGTTCGGATATTCGGGTCGGGTTCGGGTCGGGTTTTTCGGGTTTGGGTTTTTTGGGTTTAGAAAACTAAGACCCGTTCGGGTATTTTAAAACTTCGGGTTTGGATTGGGTTCGGATCGGGTATTTCGGGTTCGGATTCGGGTTTACCCGAAGTATCCAAATATTAGAAATTTTGTATCCGATTCTATGCAAAGTATTGAAAAATACTCAAAAAAATCTATAAAACCCAAGTATTTTAACCCATATCTAACCCAAAGTAGTTAAAACACCCGAAAATATCTTAACATCCGAATAATTTAGGCACTTAGAGCACCCACAATGGTGAATGTGTTAGTATGGGTGTAAATAATTTTTTAGTATTATAATTAGAGAGAGAGAAAAGAGAGAGATAGAGAGAGATAGAGACAAGAAAATTTTTTCCCTTTTTATAATGCCCACACCCAAATGCAACTCTGCATGTGGGTGTTGTTGAAAAGCCACTTTTTGCATTATTTTTCTATATTAAATTACATACACCCGACGTCTACATGTGCCACTGCGCTTGGTCTTAGGTTATTACAAGTATAAATATTACTAATATATTATAACTATGTATTTATATTTTGGGTATGTTCGGGTACTTGTTCGAGTTCGGGTCGGGTTCGGGTTCGGGTTTTCGGGTTGTGAAATTTAGAACCCGTTCGGGTATTTTAAAACTTCGGATTCGGGTTCGGATCGGATTTTTCGGGTCGGGTTCGGTTCGGTTCTTTGGGTTCGGATATTATGCCCAGACCTACTCCCGAGTCCCGATCAGTATTTTCCACTGTGACAATTCAATATATTGTTATTCTTTCTTCAAGTATCCCTCACCCGGTGTTAAACGAATTGTTCTAGACTATAAACTGAACTATTGTCATAGAAAACTAGTGTATGTTATTTATACCTGATGTGATATTTTGAGTAGAATTTGGATTAAAATCGTCAGATTCTTTGTTCTGGCTGGCGACAATTATATAAAATTATAAATCAATAAATATTTGATTGGGATATTTGAGTGGGATATTTGTGACATCCATATGACAGCATATTAATTACCAGCAATTAATCAAAATTCACGTTATATCAACTATATAGATCAGTGTTTACAAGATAGTCACATTTTTGGTGATATATGTACATACGTAGCTCACAAAAACGTGCAAAAATTCTCTTTGAATGCAGGAAAAAAGGCTAAAAATCACCAAAACTAGCAAAGCAAGAAGAGAGCAGAGTAATTAAATATCCATAACTAGTTTTCTTTAGAGAGCAACACCAATTGAAGATCTCTTCACGAACCTTCCTTTCATGCGAGGCCTTTTCTCTGCATTCAATTTACGTACCTCGTACCGTATCTTCTTGGAGAACAACCTTGTCCTCCTTTTCTCTCGGTATCTCGAAACCCTAGCCTCTCTTCCTCCATCCCCAGCCTCTCCCATGTGTAACCCTAGGCCGCGGAAGTGGTTGTGATGATGAGCTTCTCCACTTTCACCCTTAATATTCACAACACATATAAGTTTGTTAATTAGAGACAATGCTTTCTTCATATCAATATCAAATAGTAATAACAATGGTTGCGGTCCATTGGTAAAAATTTGTTGCTAGTTTGAGATATAGATAGAACAAGGCAAGGAGTGATAGACTTACCAAGGAATGGGTTGGGCAACAAACCATGTCGAGGTCAATTTCAGATGGCTCTCGGTCGGTCCATGGGATCCCTTGGCCATTCCAAGTGGAAATCACAGATTCGTAGTCCAATCTAAGCATAAGAGCCTTCTCCTTATTCTCTTCCTTAATCCTACCACTCATCTCATTCACTCCCACATCCATTCTATTCTTCATCACATCTTCTTTCTCATCTTCTTCTTCTTCTTCATATGTCGTCTTGTGTGCGTACTCGTAGTCAAAGCTTATTTCAAATGGAGATGTCTCCTCAGCCTCATCTAGATCATACACTTCTCTTGTCACAACTCCTTCCTCTTCCTCCACCTCCTCTTTTTCGATCTTTAACACCTCACCTAACCCTAGCTCTTCTATGGAATGAAACTCTCGCTCCATCCCTCCACCGAGTAGAGTCTCCACGTCAGCTGTGAACTGAGCCAGTTCCATGTCGGTTGGGAACAAACCATTCAGACAACTCTCAGCGTTGTCTTCATCTTCTTCGTCGCTGCATTTGAAACTTAAGGGCATCATCGGAAACTCAACCTTTGTCTCCACGGACTGGTGAAAGCATTGCTCCTTAACCATCGGGTTCATCACCGGCACCTCGAAGATGAGCTGCTCTTCCACTTCCACCTCGTAGCTCTCCGCCTGATTCTCTGTGCTCATCTCCGGCACAAGATCATGAAAAACCATCGTGTGGCTCTTCTTGCCACCACGTGGGGTCCGAGCTTTACGTGTAAATCCCTGATGCCACGTAGATTGGTGAGACGGTGAGGAGGAGGAAGCATGGCGATGCTTCCCGGAGCTAGCCGACTTCAAACGAACCCTCTCGTGCCTACGAGCAAGAGGGTTCGCCGAGTGGACCGAACCGTCACAAGCATGACAAAGGAAGGCATCATCAGCTGCGCAATACCAACGTGCCCGCCTCTTCACGCAGCTATCACATGCCCTCGCCGTCTTCCCTCCGACCGCACTAGCCAAACTTTTCATCATATTATACTTATCACCATCAACGAGAAGAAACCTTACTTTGAGTAAAACAAAGTTGCCAAGTCTCAGTTGCAAAAAGAATGTTTTATCGAACTATGAGTTCTCTCTACAAAGGTTTCAGTTTTCGAGAAGTGGTTATAAAAAGAGAGACTACATTTTCTTTTTATGAGGCACTGAAGAGTTAAGTTTAGAGGCGTTGTAGGCTAGTACATGTCCCACACGATGTGAGCTTTTTTTTTCTTGTATATCAAAGTTAAAAACTTGATGCACTTTTTTGTTGCTTATACCCCAAGAGGGCCATGAAGAGGTCTTATCTCGATTCTGATTGGCCGAGTTCTTCAAGTTGATCCTCTTCTTAGTGTTTTGATTGGCCAGCTTCTTAATCAGATGGATATCTTTATGGTCCACATGTCGTTTTCACGGGCCAAATCACTCCTTATTTTTGGATTTTGTTACCATTCATTTTTGCTAGATTTCATTATTTTCCATGGAAAAAGTCGATTAGTGTGAATTATTCTCGTGATTATGTGGAAAGCGAGGTTTTGATTGCTTGTGTCGGTTTACGTTTAAAGATAATGAGTAATGACATTAATTATGGTATGATATGTCTACATCTTTATTTTCTACATGTACATCTTAAAAATTTAGAGACAACGAAACTGTATTAATAACTTTACTGAATATTTTTAAGATATAGAGTAAAAAAGTCATTTGAATCCCCAATTATTAGGAAGCGTAAAAAGATTCAACAAAAACTTTTATTATCTTCTACTTTTGTGTTTTATCGATCCTAATTATACAGATATCTCTTACTATGTTTTTTTATTTGTTTAAAGTATGTTATATGGATACAATTTGGAGTACAATTTAAGCATTTAAGAAAAGAGGGCAGAAAGAGGAATGAAAAGTAGAAACGAAGTGGGCGATAAGTAGAAGTGATAAAACCAGAGGGATAGGAACGATAGTTGATCTCTTGCTATTTTACTTTATAACACCAACTAGACTCAAAATAAATTAAGGATTAAAACTTAATCGATCGATATCAAGATATCCGAAAACGTTTGGTTAAAGGATAAATAAAGACAAACTGGATAACTATGGTTTGTGCTGGACCACATCAATATGCAGAAAACTTCAAAAACAAAGGCATCAACCTTTTTCTTGAGAAGATAAGAGGCTCGATGGATAACATGTACCACTCTTGGCATTATTCGTGTACTTGGGAAATGATATTTATATTTTTTTCATCATTTGTAAACACTAAGATTTCGGAGACTGATTGAATTTGATAAAACATCATTAACCTTAAACTTTTGTCCTGTCTAGGAAATCATGTCTGTTGAGATGTCCTTAACACTACGAATTCATAGTGTTAATTTTGGGTTCAAAATTATCCTCAAAAATAAAAAGCAGAAAATAATTGCATACAATAGTGGTTCATTTTCAATATAAATAACGCGTCTATTTTTTTTATTAATATATACATATCTCATTATGAGTAAAGAGTTCAAGAGTTACAATTTTTTTTTTCTCTATCTTGATATGTCAATAAAAATTAAATAAAATAGAAATCATTAAACTTATAACGTTAAAACAGGATGCTAAAGACTATTAAACTTTTCATTCTATACGATCTATTGGGCCTAGGTCAGTACATTTCCTCGGACGGGAAACCAGAGTATTTTATTTGGTTTTCTCTGAAGCACTATTCGAACAAGCGAATGATCTATTAGCTTTGCATGAGATACTTTACTTATTTTTCTCAAGAGGCCATATGATGCGTTGGTTTGAAGATCAAATCTTTGTCGAAGTATTTCAGACTAATTAAGGCCATCATGTAGGCTGGAATTTCAGGATCACTAATTGATATAGGCCCAATACATTTTGTGGCAGTGTTGGAAAACATATGAATGTACTAGTACTTTAATATTATTCGATAAAATATATGCTCACATTTTTTTTATCATCATGACATCATCATACATTCATTACATATCAATATATCATCATGCAACACTTAGAGGCGAATAGGTCCAGATGATTCCACAACATACAATTTTACATGCACTACAAAATCCTAAAGAGACGCTATCAATGCACCACATTCATAGTATGGACATATTTACTGCGATAGGATATTTATGCAAATTGGATGGATGGTCAACCATTATATGTGTTCGTGTGTGTTCAACGTTCAGACACACACACATACTGTATATATAAATTTGTTGTGTTCAGATTTTTTTGCCTTTATAAACCACATTATTGACATTAAAACCAAATCAAAAGCAATATAGACGGCAGCGATGAAAACAAAGAAATTTATTCTCCAATTTAAAAATAATAAAACAGAGAGAAATATTCTTATTTGATACACCACAAGTTATTAATTACAGCACGAGAAACTAAAAAATACCCCAAATGAAAAGCAGAGATTTAAGTATATGCAGAGCAATTAAATACAAACATTTATGCTTCGCTCTAACTTCCATTTCTCAATCCCCCCTTTAAACCAAATCCCGAGACCAAATAAACCTAAACCGTAACACAAAATCAAACCATTACTAAACCGTTCAAAGACGTTTTCAGTTTAGAGTTTGACAACTTCGGGAATAAAGACAGGGTAACGGTCGATACAATCGGACCATGGTCCGTCCTTAGGTGTCTTAATCGTACGGTTACACTTCCACACGGCTGAGTTACACTTAAAACCGCTTCCAAACGCAATTTGCCAAACACGATCGCCTCTCCTCATTTTCCCTTTAGACTCGATGTAGCTAAGCTCGTACCACAACGATGACGATGACGTGTTACCAAACCGATGTAGTGTCATTCTCGAGGCCTCGACGTGTTCTCCTGATAGCTGTAGGTTCTTCTGGAGCTCGTCGATCACCGCTCTGCCTCCTGCGTGAATGCAGAAGTGTTCGAAGGCCAGTTTGAAATCCGGTATGTACGGTTTCCATTTCGGGTTGAAGATTTTACGTCCGATTAGGGACGTGAGGAAGAGAAGTTGTTCTGACGCCGGTAGTACCAAAGGACCTGTTTCATCAAATTCATATATCAAAACCAAACCGTAGCATAATTCCTAAAACCTAAGCCAAACTAAACTTTACTTTAAAACCAAATAAAATTTCAATCGAACAAAGCTAATTTAATGCAACCGAATTGAGTAACCTAAATTTTCATAGAAGTGAGACATATGCCAAGAAAGTACATTTAACCATAATAACAAAACATATAGAGTAATTATTCTTTTATTTAAAACGAAATTGAAGTCAAACCTAGCCGACCAATAATTATTTAATGCCCACCCCTTGATATAGTTTTCACCGTATATATATCATTGTTAGGGTATATATGTAGGTGAAATAAAATGATGTTTATTATAGTTACCTATTGTGGTGATGTTTGCCTTGAGGGCTTCACCGGCGATAGCCATGAGATCTTTGGACAAGTTGATGCCAACGTGTCCTTCTTTGTCTTCCTGCTCGTAGACACAGTAGAAAGACTTGTCATCAGCACCGCGGTGGGTCCGGACCAGATGGGAAAGCTTGTATTTGGCTCGCCACCGGTCAGACCGGCGGTTTGACATGTGTATAGCTGCCGCGCCCATGCGGAAGAGGCAATTGGGTAACAACATGGCTCTCTCGTTTCCTTGATAGTAATTAGGCGTTATAATCTCCGTGCTGACGATGATTGCATTTGAATTGGGATGAACTTGGAGCAAGTCGCGGGCTAGATCAACTGAGATCAGGCCCGCGCTGCAGCCCATCCCCGAGAGATTGAAGCTTTTGATATTACTCCTAAGCTTATATTTGTTGATGACCATAGCTGAGAGTGATGGTGTGGGAGAGAAAAGAGAGCAATTGACGATAAGGATGTCGACGTCTTTAGGTTTAAGACCAGTTTTCTTGAATAGATCGTCCATGGCCGTGAAGATAACCATCTGAGCCTCACTTCTAGCCGCGTCCATGGTTGGTGTCGGAGGAATATAATGAATAGCCGGAGGGAGACAAGTCTCTTCACCGAGGCCAGAACGTTCAAGAATTCTCATTTGGAACTCAACGCTCTTAGGGTTGTCCTTGAGGTTCAAACGAGAGTGTTCCATGAAAGTTGCGAAGGGGACACGACACGTGACAGGTGGCTTGTAACAAGAATAGTCAACGAGGTAGATGGTACGTGGCTTGGACATGAAGTAAACGGTGGAGATGAAGATGACAAAGAAGGAAGAACATAGAACCTGAACTAGGTCAAACTGAAGTGAGTTCCAAACATTAAGGATCTCTTCAGGACCCATCCGAAGAAGCTCAACGGCGACGATAGCCATGATCGGGATCAGAAGAAAACTCAAAAAATGATTAACCAAATATTGGTAACCAAGTTTCACGTACTTGAGCTTCACCGAGCTAGAGAACTCTGGCATCGGTGCCTGAGGCATCTCCGGAGAGTTTTAATGTGTAATTGTATTATTGTTACAAAATGTGATTAGGGTATTTTTGAAGATGAGTTAATGAAGAAGAGAGAGGGAAGGTGAAGGATATAAAGGCGAACAGAGGAAGGGGTAGATGAGAAGAGTTAATGAAGAGACCAACGTCACCCAACGCTCTTGCTTTGCTTTCTATTTAATTATTTTGTATTATTATGAGAAAAATGTTTTGTAATACTTCTCTTCGATTTCCAGTTGTAACTAGACAAAAGCAAGTGAGGGAGCAAATGATAAGGACTGTCCTCTTTCGATAAAAAATTTTCATCTCTTAAAATTGTCGTTGTAAGAGAAATAAATTAAGAAACAGCAAGACGTGTCAGCTTTTGGGTTTATCGAGATCAAAGCGTTTGGTAACTACTTTGATTTGATGATCACGTTCACGTTCCCCGGTAGGCGCAATATTGGGGCTGTTACTAGGGGTGGACATAAATACTTAGTACTTGTCACGTACCTGTAATTTATTTTATGGCTCTGAAAGAAAAATGGTCGTTATCATAGCAGTAACATAAATCGGATAGTCATAAGTTTGTGTCAAGTAACAAGATTTAAAAAGATTAATATCCGGTTTGTTTTACCCGTTAAAATTAGGAAGTGACATACTAATGATTTGCAAGTAATTGGTGAATAATTTTCAAGTAGCAAGTGGGTAAATAACCCGCAAATGAACTAGTTTTAGCAAAAACTTGAATTTGTTGGAATTCGTTTATATGAAGCAAAGACAAATAATTTTAGTACCCATATAAAGCGATTCA